ATGCAGCACTACGCAGAAGTCTGTGCAACAGTGTTTACATAGCCATTACATCGGACCGAAGGAGAACTATGTCCGCATAATGCGAAGGGGTTTTCCAGGTATATTTTTCATGGATAGACAGTGGCACAGGCTGACGCATTCAACACACTCGAAGACAGCTTTCAAGTCAAGGAAAAGCACCATAGTCGGTCGTTCATATGTGTGTCTTGGCACTAAAATTTGGCGAAGTGTAAAAATGTAGCCCGTAGGCTTAAGGATCATAAGCCTGCCTTGTAATCCGAGGGCGCGGTTTCGACCCTGCATAAAGACCGAGCGACCCACGCAGTACCCTTAGCTTACGTACGACTGGCGGTGGTCGCGCAGCAGCGAAGCATCGGTACTGCGTACCGGCGTACTGTCGATGACTTTCTTTTCTTCTCGATGCAACCACGACCAGAGCGGAAGCCAGTCTGCCTTCAGTGATTCGGTCTTCACGGGAACCAGTAAATCGTCGACGAATGTTATCCCCGTAAAGTTTTAAGACGATGGAATTAACCCTAACGCCTCGATAATTTTCCTACAAAGTACGCGAACTTTTTTTATGATTGTGCATGACAGTTGATAGTCACCAATCTGAAGTATACCAAATTGGGTGGAATAGAGAAGCAGGTCCAGTAAACGAAGAGTCACCATCTATCAGCTTAGGTGGGGTAGTATCGTCGTGTCCAGAAGCCGTGTTTCATTTCAACACGGCGAGTTCATGTCGATTCTCTTCCAAAGTGGGGGTGGTGACATCAGCATCCCATATCAGCTCAAACGATTCATCAAGTGGCAGTGTCGCAGCAGGCATGCTGAGCCGCTCTTCACTATGTTCGGCCCAACGACCTACTCGAAAAGACTGCGAATGGATCAACTGTCCATCTTTCTCAACTATTGTCTCGCTAACTGATAGCTTTCTCGGACCAGTATTCCGGATGAGCTGGAATAGCAATCGGCTGTTCTCAATATCACTGCCAATTATCCACCATTGGGTTTGCTTTCTACCATCTGCTACCTGATCGCTATCAATCCTGCACTGAACATGTCACCTCGAATGGTGGCGAAACGTTTGCAATCAAGTTGTCCAGCTCGGAGAACACCACAACTGAACAAGCCTCCCGAGTTACCAATGTTCCAAATCATTTTGTCTCTCCAGGTATTGTTAAGATTCGGGACGGCGACCGACTTGGTCATTCAAGTCACTAGCAACAATTGTAATTTCAGCATCCTTTGCAGTGCGAAGAGGAGATGATGGTTTATGATAGAAATCGTCTTTGACACCTTTTGAACTGCATTCATTAGAGGCCGAAACTGAGGCGATGAAAAGGCACCTTGTCTTCAGGCGGTGCTTATTACTTCCAATAGAGGTTCGAAGTCGAAACGCACACGTGCCGCTGTTTACCTGTATCCAGTCTAGTAGATTGCTTTCAGCATGTTTGCTGAGGTTGATACTAACACCATAGATATTTTGAGCCATTGACGCGGTATCACCAGAGACACGAAGAGTGTTGTTTTTGTCAGTAGCTACAGAACCAGGGAGTCGAAGATTCCTCACACCGATGTTATCTTCTATGGTTATTTCTGTGACACAACACATACCAGTACCAAGATAGTGAGAGTCAGATCCATCGATCTGACCCAGAGTGCTTACGTTAAATGAACCACTGTGAAACGAAACTGGTGATTTGCTCGAAAAGCTACATGTATCAATGACAGCAGCTGCGTGGTCAGTGGCAGCCTTGCTCAATGCATGGGGGGAAGAGTTGAGAGGATAAAAAACGAGTAGAAGAGGGATTGTTGTCGATCAGGTCGAAAGGCCAGATGATACTCTCCGACCGCCCATTCCGATAGTGGGATTTCTTTCAAGGTGCCCTCCCTCTAAGCTTCGACACAACAGTCTGGCCCACTAAGTAATGGGGTACGTGGAGGTTTGCTTGAGGGACTCCATCCGGTGCCTTTGACTCAACAGTCTGACCCATGAGGCAGTTTACACCAATTTAACCAGGGACTGCCTGGTCTGCGGTGGGCGGTATCAAACCATTGAGCACCGGGTGGTGCCCTCCCAAACTCAAAGACAATGCGTGGCGCTTGTGCTCAAGACTGTTCGGATTGGGAGCTTATAACCCACAAATGCTTAGGTTCTAAGGGAAGTGGGCCATCGACCTCTCCCTGACCTCCAGAGAGGAGGAGATTGTGAGTCTGAGCTTTAACCACTGACGTGTATGGTCTGAAGGCTCCTGGAAAGTGACACACCAGCGCCAAATTTCAGTCCAGTCTCGTCGTGATGTGCCAGTGGGGACGGGATGTACTGTCATCGTGGTGGTTCTTTACTCAGGGTGGTTCCATCCAGTATGGAGCGAACTACGGTCCAGCCACCGCCATGTGTACGTCTAGTACGCACGATTTCCAAATTACTCAGCAATGCTGCTGCTATGTATGTTGGAGGAGTGTGAACCGACTCCGTTGATGAAACGTGGCTCCCATCCACATGCCTCCCAGTTTTATTTCTTCGGGTTTACACTGGATATGGGGGGTGTGGTTGGAGCTGTGGGTGGTGCAGCGCAATCCACCCATGGTCCTCTGTAGGCGTTAGCGTCTTGTGACTGTCTTATGAAAACCGCGGTAACAGGCAAATTCTGACACGGATGCCGCCAAACATATTAGTTGACCTAGTCGTCCTAGCAGGCAGTTGTGTCCAGCCACGCACTCTAACAGACGGATAGAAAGCCGCATGTATAGGCAAGGGTGGGTAGAAAGACTAGCTTCTCTTTGTTAGGCTAAAGTAATACCGGTAACACTCGCGGTTGCTGCTTTCAGTGGGTCGTAAGTGCATCCAACTAAAATGTAGAATGAAACCCCGGAGGCGGATAAACATGAACAGAAAGATTATGGGACTTTTAGAAGTTGCAGGTATTCAAGCAGTTCAGCTATAATTGTATAATGTGATTATATAATGCACCTTCGTGCTTTTTTTGCGGCGATCTTTTCAAAAAAGATGATAATTATTCATCATTAGAGTAGAGTCTAATGTATCGGCGCAACACGACGTTTCGGTGACAAGGATTGTTTGCAACTCGTTGGATTGTGCAACCATCCGTTAAAAAACATGTAGTTTGTTGTTAATGGATCCTCTATTAATCAGACGTACTTAAACATGCTATTAATAGTGGGGTCTGCGTTCTTCGCTCATTTTTGTGTGAGTATTTGTAATTGGGCCTTATGGGTATGACGAATGTCTGTGGAAGCAGTGGAATGGAGTACCTTACTAATAATCGTGAGTGCAGGGGCAGTGTGTCATTTGTAGACGTTGCTACAGCTGAGGGTGCAGAGAGGGTTGATTGCAGCCGAATTAGCACGGAGACAATCAGGTCATCTAAAAACAACAACAGCAGTACACCAACCATTTGTACTGATGTTTCGTTACCGTACAATTATGGTGGCGTACGGAATGAAGGATAATAACAGGAAGAAAAGGGAGACCTAGCGTAAAACCTCAACGCCCTGAACAAGCATTCATTGTCAGTGCGCCTACACTTGGTGTTAACAACCTACTGTCACAAGCAGCTGACTATCGTACAAAGATAAGACGGGTTATCTGAACAAAGTGCAGGAATAACGGGAACATTTAATTGGCTTATTCCGGATATGTCAGGAGTGATAATGGTTGCAGTACCATTCCCGTATCCACTGAAAATGTATCGTAGTGAGAGGTTGCTTGAGGGAATGTGTGTGCGTGAGATGGGGTAGGGATTGACAAAGTTCCTCCTGTTATTTTGGTTTCATCTTGAAATGATCCGGTAATATACAGGCTACTCCGAGTGATTTTCGGTTTCACTTCCCTTTCTATCTGTTGATTTCATTTCTCCGCATTCTTTAGTTACCTACGGCACTTGAATTTGCTTAAGTCCCTCATACAGCAACCTTTGCAACGACATATCATTCAAGTTTAAAATGTTGTTACTTGTGCTACTCTCGCAGAAGTACTGACCTTCAGCATTGAGGTTTAATCGTTTATTGAGCTGAGCTTGTAACCATGAGTATTGCTTAATAATCCCGTTTATAAAGGCCTTTCAAGCTTGGTTCCATGCAGACAGCCTCAGTGGAAGTTCAGATCATCTCAGCTCATTAGGTTATAGCCAACTAATGAGGCCCCATCTCTTTTGAAATCGGCCACTGACTCTTGGTTTTAGGCCAGCCATCGAAAGTTTGTGACAGGTTCTCCTAACATGGGCTTTTCCTCTAGGTCATTTCTTTTTAACTGCATTGTCAGACTCATCTCGATCGTTAACGACGCTGCTTCTCCATGCCTCAGATGAAGCTTTTATCAAAGCCTTTCTCTTCTGATTCGAGAATCGGCTGCACCGTGAATCGATTATCTGTATTGGTTATCCGTGCTGTCAATGTATACGCAGTAGATTTAACTCTTGCGTGGTAGTTAACGCTGTTGGGGGTGTCCTGCCTATTAGCTCGTGCGATCATCCGTTTATGGTTCAATGTGTGCAAAAATGATTTATCAACGAATAGCATCACTGTGGTTTAATGCAGAGTCATTAGTGTGGCGGGGTGTTAGATTTCGCTTCAATTCTTTTCCGGTATGCTCTAGTTCTTATCCTATTTGGATATGTGCTTTCCCCCGTTTTCTTTGACCTCTCGTTTCAACGTGTATAAGTGGCTAGTGGCCTTTTTATTCACAAACATACCATCATAACGGTCATTTAACTTTCATGTCCTGGCTTTCATTTCCTCCAACTTCATCTATCAACCATAAACGCCGTGCTCGCATGGTATGCTTTGTAACTCAATGAAACTCCATTTCTACACTCCTTTGATAACCGACAGTTATTTGTGCACGGATAGCCTGCTTCAAACTCCCTTCTTCAGTACAGATCCGTCAGTGTACATCCTACTGCTGTGCTCACTACCGGACTGGTTGTCGATGCTGTTCCATCCATCTATTCGCTGACATTTTTGTTCTTTTTCAGTGCTTGGTGGACATCGTTCTTTTCCTTCTATCACTGAGTCTCATCTGACGCAACCCGTCAGTCGGCCCTTGGTCATTCCGCGCAGTTTAAACAAAGGTGCTGTGGCTACAGCCAGGGCCATCCAACAAGCTGCTGCTAGCCAACGTCGCAACATGACTTCCCAGCGCCTACTGATTGAGCAGCGAACGGTACGTACCAGTGGACAGTGTACACTGTACAGTTTATGTAGCTCTTTCACTATACCTTTTTGTTTCTTCTTCGTTCTTCTTGGCGCAGGTGTTGTGTATTCACTCGAATGCAAATACCATTCTTTCAACTAATCGCAGCCTCATCTAAGTGCAAACGGTTTCTGTTGAGAATACAGCAGGTCAATATTCACGTGTTTCGTCTGTGAATTCAAGACATCGATGGTTATAGGGTTCCTGCTGCTAGATTCCCGTCCGGATTAGCCACTTGGATTGTTTTACTAAACGACACCACGGACCTGTTGCACTCAATTCACTAGTCCACACATGCCTACTCGTGGTTGTGTTCGTTTGTTTTCACGGTCACTCCTCATTGCATCCCACCCATGTAGCCTGCTCACGATCAGATTCATTTTCGGTTGTTTCCAACCGGACGTTGGTCTGTAAGCCTTTATTGGGAACGTGGCGCAATTAGATGACGTGACTTGCAAGTATATCTTACCAACTAATGCAACAATTCACCTCTACTGTAAGCCGTAGTGCGTAATTGCTCCCGAAGTTATAGGGAGGGTGCTATTAATAATCAGTACACAATGTAGATCACCTGATAACACCACGGGACTAGTTGGCGTCTCGATGCGGAAGTGCGCTACCCTAATCATGTTATACACCGCGGTGGGATGCAGTACAGAGGAATACAGATAATTGCCTTGGTCTGCTCACTATGTTTTTCATAATCTTCTAATCTGCTTTCTCTGTTCATTGACTAGCGGTTGCTACAGCATCAACTGTACAATCAGGTGACGGTCTACTCTGCAAATGCGAAATCACCAGAAGTTGTAATATCTCCACCATTGATTTTATCACCGGGAGTCCACTCAAGACGACCCGTCTCTCAGAATCACCTGCAGTCACCCTCGGCCGAACGCTGTTTATCTTCCCGCGGCTGTAGCTCACCAACCGTGCGCCCGTTCAGGAGGAATGGCTATTCCTCATCGTCTGCCGATTGTTTGCCGCACCAAAATTCAGTGCCAAATTCTGCACACAATTTTACTGCCACTACGGTCGTCGCTTTCAGTCCGGCCACTTTGACATCCAGCAGCGCTGATTCCCGACATTACCAACATCGCCCAGAAGATTTGATGCGGTTTCTGAAGGAAGTCGGGCCTAATGTTCAAGTCCAGGTCAGGAATACTGTCTGTTTACTGCTTCTGCTTCTCTGTTTTCAATATTTAGTCGATAGTAACGGTATCGAGCTCAACGCAAGATTTTTGTCTCACCAGTCACTTGCCGTTTGCCCCCGGCTTATCTTTGCTCTCATCATGTGTTCGACTCTTGCTGGTACAATTGTCGTACACATCTGTAGTAGACTGCTATTATAATGCCTGTTGCGTTATTTGTGTATGGCAGATACTCCTTGATCGAAATTGCTGGGAGAGACTTAACGTTATTTTCATTGGCATAAATACAACACCTTTGCAAATTGTTGTGTTACTCGCATTACTTACATGCCGTTTTGATAACTGGCGTTTTTACCTTTAACAGTCACCGTGTGCGACTTTATCCACTTCAAGACATTTATTCAGCTGTTAGTGTTATTGTCTGTTAATGCCGCTATCTCGATGTGCTACGCTTTTCCTGATTGCGACTCCTCACTCGTTAAATTATCTCAATTTTGTGGTATAAGTTACCACCGGCTGATTTTATCAACTCAGTATTGATGCAGCTTACGTACAATCAGTTATTTGATCTGTAACGTATGACCTACTGTGCTCCCCATCAAGGCACTTACACTACATCTTGGTACCCAGGTTGCGTTACAGAACCAAAATCTATGTCTTATAATCGCCGGAAGAACTGATCGGTTGCTCTTCTATTGCTTCCGAATTTGTCCCTGCATTCACAGGTGATGGTTTCAATATTAAAGTTAAATCCAACTACATTATTTTCCACATTTCAACTAGATAAAAGGTAGGTTGTAGTCCATTAATGCTGCCAAATTAAGTAGTTTTTCGGGCTTTTTTCTTCTGCTTGATCCTCCGAAATCAGACGATTCCTTTTTAAGACGATCTATTGGCCCGGTAACTCACAAGCCCATTCAAAATCAGTGGTGGGTGGTCTTGACAAGTAAACCTATTCACAAGACCAACTGTCAAGACACTATCTAAGCAACCTGAAGCCGTTTCCGTATTTGCTTTCTGAAATATCTTGGTGGGATACCAAAGATGACAGTGCTTTAACCACGCAAACGATCCACAGAAGGCGGATGCACCACATGACTTTGTGTACATGGATGGAACTGGAACTTTCTACGAGAATCGCAGTCATACATCACTTGTTTAGTGGAAACTTAGCTTCCTTCCTAGCACTAACTGTTCTATTTTTTGAAATCTCCTGCTAGCGCTTTGAGCATGGCTGTTCATCTACAATGTCCTTGAATTGCTTCACGGTGGGTGCCCAGCCCCCAAAGATTTCGGTCGTTTGCTATAACTGCTTATCAGTTACAAATTGCCCCAATAGTATTAGTTTTTTCTCTTTACTTACTTTTGTTGCTTCGCTGTCTTCCCTCTACTCGTTCTCGATTAACGTAGAGTCCAGGGCATGAATCTGTCCCATACTCCACTAAGTCAATTAACCCTTGTCCGGTTTTCTCTGGACTTAATTTTAAAATTTATTTTCCACGCCTGTAATCTATATTTATCTGTGTGTGTAGTTTTCTCCACTCTTCGTGACTTTGCACTTATCTTCTACCCGCAGTTATCTTCTGTAGCCTCTGAATCATCCATGTCGGCCATTCAAAAATCAAAGCGAAGCTCGTTTTTACCAAATCACCACATACCAGCGTCTGGTATCCATTGTTTGGATAACCCATCACAATGCTGCCAGACAAATACTAGAACTACCTGTTCAGTTTTGTCGTCATCCAGTTCTCGATCGCTGTTCGGTTCATCCATCTCTACTACGGCGGTTCTGCCTTCTGCTTCCGAAAGCTCGCGGTCAGCAGTTGCTTCACGGATTTTAAGCAGCTCTGTTTATGATAATGCACTCGTTTATTCGTTTCCGATGCAAGCTAAAATTGCTGGCCCAAACAACGTCGAACTCAATTTCCACAGGGATGGAAGGTATGCTGCCATCTTCCTTTTCCTTGGTTTCACTGGAAGCGATTCTGTTTACCTTCGGTGTCTTTAAATCCTCAAAATATGCCTTTCCAGCTCCAAATAACTGCAGGCTTTCAGTTTTTGTTAAAACTTATCATTCTGTTTTCTTTTTGATTGCCAATTCCTTGTCCATTTGAAAGTACTTTCCGTAATAGCTGCTTCCATTCAAGCGTACCTGAATCCTTTCAGTTAATACCACGAATTCGGTTGTTGCTTTTCAACATCAAATCATCGCTTTCCCGGAGCATGTACAGATACCATTCTTCTATCCCTTTGCCGTAATTCAGGCAACCACCAGTCGTAATTATTTCGGACGCAGTTCGGATTAGGTAAACAAATATGATCCGCGTGTTGACATGCGGTGGTTCCGGTTACCACGACTCACATCGAAAGAGTGACAGTTAACCACAACGGTAGAAAAGTAAAAATTAAAACGCAAATGATTTACAAGGAAAACAGTTTAAGGAAGTGGTGCGTAAACCTAATCTGGATGAAATGAAAATTAAGAGCTACATGCAATAAACCGCCACCACTGCCTGCGCGACTACGCCATGTTTGATGAGGTCTCCAATCACTGAAGTGGACCATCCAGTGCCCACATCTTCGAAGACGGCAAACACCAGCATGACAAAGTCTCAGCCAATTTCTTCAAGCTTCCATGCCATACCATAGACTAGCCACCTCGCGGTTTCGCCCAACTTGCTGCAGCGACAGCCTATAATACATGCCTAGGAAGTCCTTCAACGGGTATACAGAGGACATGACCTAGCCAACGCAAACGACTATGATTTGTCAAACACTCGAGATAGGCATCAGATGACTTCTTGCCAAGAACCAACTGGCGTACCTAATCGTTGCTCACCCGGTGTTCCCACCAAACGTCTGCAATACGTCGCAAGCACCGGTGGTAAAACACGGCCAAGCCTTTAATATCTTCATTGCGAGCTGGCCAGGCAGCCTTATACACCCTACCTTTCATTAACAAGCCGATATCCCGCCGTCTCCATAAATGGTTGAGTCTCTGGAAAGCCACACGGGCTTTACTGATACGCGACTTTGCCTCCTCTGTGATGTGACCACCAGAAGTGACAAAGCTACCAAGTTTAGTGAACCGCTGCTAGCTAGAACCAGTGGTGTGTTGGTCCAGTCCTGCACCACATACGAAACGTGCAGCGCTATGCGTCAGTCTATTCAGCAGTTCGTGTATAGCCACTGCTTCCTAACCAAGAAGAGCTATGTCTTCCGCATAGTTATGCCTTGTCTGTCGGTTACCTGGCAGAACTTCGACACAGTGTTTGAAAGAACAGACTCATTCTTAGTTGTTTCATAAAGTACACAGTAGATAGCTTTTCCTAGACCCTTACCCTGCTCGGAAGTCACAGCGGATGGACTTCATAATGGAAAGAATTTTTTCAGAGACCTCATCCACGGATTTTCAGTACCATAAGCTGATGTTGTCAGCAGAGTAGTAGGTGGTTTTAGGTCAAGGAAAACCACCATACTCGCTCGTCTGTAGGTGTATTTCTACTCTAACACTTCAGGAAGAGTGCATATGTGATCGATGCAACCGCGTCCAGGGCGGTAGCAAAGTTGGGTTTCAGTCATTCGGCTTTCATTTGCACAAAAATCGCAATGAGGCTGGACCTTACCATGTTGCGATGGTCTGTGTGCCTCAGTGATCCATTGAGCTATGCTGGGTGGTGCTTTTTTTTACACCTTCAGAGCCACTCATACCAGATTCGTCAATGGTTAGACGCCAGACAATCTCAGGCTCCAGGTTGGGGGTTGAAATAAGGGTGGCTCCTTATTCCTTAAAACGGACTCCTTGTAGCCCACCGCCAAACCTGCTGACTTGCGGTCAGGTTTTGAACCAAAGTCTTTGGTTGAGAACCCTAATCGTTCTCCTGTCTGACAGTATCCTGCCCAGGCAATCCTATGAATCTTTCCTCAAACAATTTTCTGATTCTCTGGCAACCGCAGAGGATAATCAACAGTGTCCTATCTGCTGCATCTAGCAGGGTGGATAGAGGTTTGGATACTACTGCTCAAGCCTTCCCATCTTCTTATTCCCCCTCTTACGCCTTTTCACTCTTACCGTCCCGTCCCAGCTTCATTTTTATCCCCCCCCCCCAGTTTTCAACCCCCACCCCCAATGCTTGGCCCTCCCCTACCTTTCTTCAATAGTCGCTTGTCTTCTAGTTTCAACTCACATTCAAAAGCGCAGCGTCACTCCTGCCCTGTCGACAAGCCCATGTCCAACCAAGCTCTTCACCTTAGTTCATCGGCTTCCATTTGGAGCCCTCGATTTTCCTTCAGATTGGCATGCTTCAATATACGCACGTTGCCACAGATCGGTCAACAGACGGCACTTGCCCGAACATTACAGACCCACTGGATCAATCTCTGCTGCTTATCGGAGACCCGCCTGCAAGACTCGAGCTCTGTGCTCATTCTGCGATCCCCTTCAGGTGACGCAAGCAGTATTTTCTCACTGCACCTATCCGGTGACGATGCAGCTTCGAGCACCGGCCAAGCAGGTGTTTGTTTTGCCCTGAGTCCCCGGGCTGAAGCTGTTCTGGTTGACTGAATTCCAATCAGTAGCCGGATGTGTGCGGTCCGATTGGCTGGCTCATTCATAGCTTCGAATCCGCACGGGACTAATAGGTGTCTATTCGTCATCGCTGCCTATACACCCACAAACTGTGGCGATGACTCGGTAAAAGCGACTTCTATGACCAACTGAACGAGCTCCTTCCCCACGGAAGAGGCTTGGACACTAGTGCTCGCGTGGAATCTGAACGCACAAGTTATAAGGTTGCCCACTGATGAGCTGCATCTGAGCGGCCAACATGGTGTAGGCTCCCGTAATGATAACGGTGAGCGGTTACTTCATTTGTGTGAAGATGCTCGCTTATTTCTTGCGGGCACCACTTTCCGACACAGCACCTGAGTGGCGCCCACCACCTGTGAACGAAAATCGATCACATTGCGATAAATTACCGCTAGAAAGGTTGCGTCCAGAACTGTCGCTCGATTCGGAGCACATGTGTGGACACCGACCATGTACTTGTATGTGTTGACCTGCGGATGCGTTTTGACGGATGCCCACGACGATTTTGTGAGCGCCTTGATGCCAGCCAACTGGCGAAGCCAGCTGTTCTGAGTGCCTACCAAACTACACTGACATGCGAATTGAGTAAGCGCTCACTGGTCTCATGTTCACCAGACCTTCCTAGCAGTAGCCAATCCTCATGTTGTAAATCTAATCGCCAACATGGACATTGGGTTTCTTCGCGGTCTCTGGAACTTATCGATGCTCGCCTGCATATTCTGGCTGGAAGCGAACAAAATGAAACTCGCAAAGAGCTCCGGTCGAAACTCCGTACTAGCCTGAAGAGAGACCGCGGATCCTGGTAGTCTTTTCCTGCCTCAGAGATGGAAGTGGCCGCTGCCCTTGGTAGCCGTCGAAAGTTATTCCGTCTGATACGAGAAATGGGTAGCAGGAGACCTGGTGTTAGTGAAACTATACATGACGAGAGTGGACAGCGTATCCACAATTTGTCAAAACGTTTGTAGCGTTTGTCTGAGCATTTTGAAAAGCAATTTAATCGGTCGGAATTGTCAGCTTTCTCGCTGGCCACTGATCGGCCTACTCCATGGGCTATCCCTTTGGATCCGCTCTCTCGTAAGTCGTACGTGAGATCGGGCTGTTGACGTTGAACAAAGCCGCGGGACCAGATGATCTTCCTCCAGCCCTCTTCAAATTCGTAGGCCCCGTTGTTATTGATGATTTACACGAATTGTCCCAAACGACTGAAGTCGCTCCGTTATTGTCCCGATCTTCCAAGTAGGCTCGCGTTCGGAATACGGCAACTATAGAGGAATCAGTGATCTCCATCGCCTCCGAATTACTTGCCTCCGTAATCCTTCAAAGACTGATTAGCGCTCATGAAAACCAGATTCATGAAGTGCGAGCCGGGTTTCGTCGGGATTTTGACTGCATCGACATCTTCACTTTGCGTCAGCTGTTGGAGCACCGTCACACATATTGGCAGTTCACCGTAATCGTGTCCCTCGACATCAAAGGTGCCTTCGATTCGGTTGATCGATGTGCCCTTCGGAATTGTCTACTCAGGAAAGGTGTGCCCGAGAAATGGGTAAATATTATCCGAGCACTATACGCGCGTAGCTCGGGCAGAGTGAGGGTTTACGGGCAGCTTTCGTCGCCCTACGATATCTCCAGCGGAGTGAGACGATGATGCCCGCTGTCACCTTTCCTCTTCAACTTCGCTATTGACGAAGTCGTGGAAATCGCATCCACAGGACACGACTTAGAAGGTGTTGAGCTGCTCCCAGGAGAAAGACTTCTTGGCTTGGTATATGCTGACGATATTGCCCTCATCTGTGACAGCTCACAAATATGCCAAGCGACTCTGGACAGATTAACACTAGCTGTCAACCGCTTCGGACTTTACTTCGCACCCTCGAAGTGCAAAGCGTTCCTTCAAGATTGGCCTGGACCGCCTCCTGCGCTGACCATTGGTGGAGATCAGATAGAAGTCTTTCAGAAGTTCAACTACCTGGGAAGTTGTATCAGCGCCCTTGGGATTGAAGATGACATCACGAACCGTATAGCAAAAGCTCGAGGCTCTTTTGCTAACCTTCGCCACTTATGGCGCCGGCGCGACATCACTCTTGCCCTGAAGCGTAGGGTGTACAATGCAGCAGTACGTTCGACCTTACTGTACGGTTGCGAAACCTGGCCCCTAAAATCAGCGGACATAAAGAGGCTAGTTACCTTCAATCACCGGTGCCTTCGCAATTTAGCTCACATCTGGTGGGAACACCGATTGAGCAATCAGCGTGTTCGTCACCTTGTTTACAGCACAGGAAAGGGAAATGAACCGCTCAGCAGCGTCATTTCACGCACCAGGCTCCGATGACTCTTCCACGTGTTACGCATGCCAGCCCACCGACTCCCGCGACGTGTGTTGTTTGCGCGCCGGGGGTGTGGATGGAAGAATAGGAGAGGTGGTTAAGCGATAACTTGGTCGAGAGGAATGAAGGCCCTCACTTCTGAGCTGGCCTCGGTTGGAGCATCACGGCTCCCTGGTTGGGGTCCGAAAGACGATGAACACGTTTGGCTGGATACACTTGCTGACATAGCTAGGAGCAGACCTCAATGACGTTCTTGCTGTGAGTTTCTTTGTCCCACCCTATCACAGCCTCCCCCTCCAATCATGATCTTACTACTGTCTGATATGATTTTGCATAGTGATTTTTTCGCTGCATAGTAACCGGCTGGTAGCTTACCGGAATGATGCCCATCCGTTACCGGTAGCTCAGCTGGCTTGCATCTGTTGCATTTTTCTCCCTTTTTTCTTCTGTGTATTGTGACACAGTAGCTGAGGTGCTTTCCACCTCTAGCTAACGTTTATAATGATGATGATGACATTCGACTCACGAGAACCTCCGGTCTTGTAATCCTGAAGTTGCGGGTTGGAGTCTGGGTAAGGAGGCGAGCGACCCTCACAGTATCCTTAGCCCACGCACTACTGGTGGTGGCTGCGCTACACCGAAGCCTCATTACTGCGTATCCGCTTACTGCTTACGCTACGAGAATCATTAGGTTGTCGAGGAATGTTACTCCTGGGACGTTTGGGAGCAATTGGCAGATGTCTAATGTTTCTATGCTTTTTCGTATAAAGTCCGTTGACTATTTTCGAAGATGGGCACGACAGGTAACAGTTGCCAGCCTGAACGCACATCTTCCATGTCCCAAATCATATTAACCAAAGCAGCAAGTTCAGTCAATGAAGGGTCACCTCCATCTTTCAGCAAATATAGACTAGGGTCGTTGGGTCCACCACAACATCATGTCGAATGTCTTCCTACGTCAGCCCGGATGGTTCGGCAAGTATTAGTGTTCAAGGCACATGTTTCAAATTGTTGGATATTCCTATGCTAATGTGCGCCATCTGTACCTGGTGGCTATATGATCAATTTGCCTCTAGAGCATTCAGGAATTCTCAGACACAGTCCTTCTATAAGGCAAGGTAGATATTGGGTGTTACCCACACGCGATAGTTATTTGCTTCCTCGGTTACGGCCCCTGTGAGTGAATTGGCAAAGGTTCGCTTCGCACAACAAGTGCTTCAAAATGACCCCCAAACAGTCCTCTTTTTTACTGCATTGAGGTTTTTGGCCGTTTCAGCTATTTGCTTAAAAGTTTCACACCATCCTTATGTCCCTTTTAACACTGGGCCTTATGCTCGCTGTGTCGGCTGTAAGTACTATTTAGTTTAAAGCATTGTGTCCTTACTTGCGTATATTTCTGAGTTTATTTGCCTCCGCTTCAGGTTAGCTTATATCATCCGCTATTTTAGACACTGGTAAGATGCCATTCGGTTGAGCGAGTTTAGTAACCCCTTTCCCGCATTTCTTTCCTTAGCCAACTATCTGTTAAGACATCTGCCCTCGAAATGCCTACCACAACTTTGTCCACACCAGGCTATATGGCTTCGACGACGGTTAGCCCGGACCCAACACAATCTCTACGTATGGTCTCTCGCGCTCATTACAAACAAACCCACCCATGTGTCGCATCAAAAGCTCCTCGTACGATATTGATCGACGCTAAACTTCACACTAACCAAAGTACAACTCCTCATCGGCTTGAAAGAGAGCTCCCGACTAGTCAGTCGTATTCAAGCTACCTCGAGCCGTACTGGAGTCGGATGCAAGATCGCGACTTGACAAATCCAATCGAGGCCAATGCGTATCAAATGTTGGATTCTCCCACTTGCGCGGTGCACCACGTTCCCACCACCGTTGGACACGTCCACTCTTCTATGTATAGCTCACGTAGGGTTAATCCCATTCAAACTGATGCATCTAGGCCAATGGACCCAGCCATCTCTTCGCCGCCAATTTCACACGCAGTGTTCGTTCCGTCTTTGTCACTCAGTTCAGAGTCGAGTATGCACGTGCCATCTGCCACGGTTAACACTGTGGTGCACCCAACTCGGCCGCCGCACGCATTTGTCGCATCACCCCATTACATTGCTTCGTCCCAAACGCTATTACCTGCTGAGTCTAACCGGACGAGTCAAAATGCATCATTTTCACCGACCATAGTAGCATCACTCGAAAGTGTAGGCCAGTCTCCCGACGGTTTTGGGCAGTGTGATCTTGTGGCTGATTCGATAACGCAACCGGATGCTTCGTCTCAGGGATCTGGTCTTTCGCATCCGACCAGTAATCAACCGAACTGTGTGCTAGAATTGGACACAAAACAGGAGGAGAGTTTGTTACCCGAGGATATCATCAATGATGTATTCGACTGTAAGTTTAAAAATTCTCAAGTCCCGCTCGCTCTTTTCATTGTTCTTGGCTATTCTTATCTTTCCAACCGCTTGTTGGCCCGGAGTCCTAAAGCTGCATGATTGATGCCAACTCGCTTATTTCTCCCTTTAGCCATCACTTCATTGCCTCGTAGGTTGTATGTCGTCACTTTTTCATCAAATTCATAGCTGCACCTGTTCCTGGTCTTCGGTGATTTCAGTAGCAAATACCCCGATCTTCCCCTTTTCGGAACCTTAAGCATGAGTTGGTGCCCAATGTGTCAGTTATGATGTACCTTGAACGCTCACATTCGTTGGTCAAATAGCCTGAAGATTACGAAGGTGTGCTGGGTTTATGCTACATAGTCTTCTGCGGTTGATCAGCCTGCATGTTCAGACTCAAGCAAATTCCCATGAAACTTCGCAGTCACACTCTCTAGCTGGGTTTTCAAAGGCACAGATTACACACTCTGCATCTCTTTTGATACCGATTCCACAGCTCATGGGATTTACGGTCTGAATTGTCTTCAGTAGAGCTACGAAGGCTTCTCTTCTAAAATGGGTCCCAGTGAACGGTCACACATTGTGCCATCTAATTTCGAAGCAATGGTCGTAGACAAGGTGCGTTTTTATTCTTTGTCTACGCTCTTGCCGGCCGTAACCCAGACGCTTTCCGAAGCATATTCTATAGACACTCCTCTCTTACCCTAATGGTCAAAAGCGCAGACATCGTGCTCATCGCACGTGATATGAGGTCTTCGGCTTATCAGAAGCAGGACATCACCTCGAAAACTCTTCCGTGGTTGATGTTGGTGACCACTTTCTTCAGCTATGCGGCTATCACAGCTTTTATATCGACAGCATAACTTTCCCGCAAAAGCAGTCGCGTTGAGGCACATAGAGGCCGCTGAATTGTCGGCCGCCTTGGACTCATTTGACCATATCACCATCAACGGTGTATGGGGCACATCAGTACAAGATTGTCTGTCGGTTTGGGTTACTTGCTTTGACTCGTATATGCGACCCTATCGCACACTTCTTCAATTTGAGCCAAGCTCAACTCGAAAGTTGCTTACTCCTTAACTGTGTTCGGAGTCTCCGTCGCAGAGACTAGGCATTAACGTGGTGCGACGGTTTGTCTACCTCTTTGACTCATTGAGCTATACTGGGTGGTGCACCGGGGCCTCTTAAGAGCTACTTCTACCAAGTTGGTCAGTGGTTAGAGGTCAGACAAACTCAGTCTCCTTGTTATTAAGTTTGGGGTTAGAACTTGGATAGCGCCCAGGACGGGACTGTATGGACCATATATTCACTCTGCGGCAGCTGCTGGAGCAGCGCCACACGTACCGCAGGCCAATAATAGCTGTGTTCCTCAATTTCAAGAGTGCCTTCGACTCTCTAGAGTAGTTTCGTCATCTCATAGGCGCTTCACACCTCAGTGCAAGGTGTTGTTGCAAGACCACCAGCCACTTGATGACCCCTTGACTCTTGGCAGGGAGGAACTGGAGTTAGTTGATCAATTCATTTACTTTGGAAGCTGCACTAGCAATGATGGACGCATAACCACGGAAGTCAGTTCACCTCTTGCAAAAACTAGAACTGCTCACTTGACACTGTGACATCTATGGTGTCAGAAAGGCCCTGTTTACAAGACCACAGTGAGAGCCGTCCCACTCTGTGGTATTGAGACTTGGCTCCCTAGTCTGAGTTAGACGGCGCAGGTGCTTGAAACATTCAGCAGAGCGCTTTCGTGTCCAATCTAATTAGCTAGTGCACTCCTCTGTGACACTTATTCCCGTTGGGTGGTGCTTGGCTTGTCCCCATCGATCTTCTTACCGAAGCAGAGTTGCGAAGCGCATTCAAATTTTTGTAACGTATAAAGCTCCCGGCCATGATAGTCTGCTCTCAGTTTTGTTTAAAGATACCTGCAATATACTGGTCAGCGAAATACTGCTGCTGTTCAGGAAGGTTTGGTCTGAGGAAAGATTCCCGATTTCATGAGGTGAATCCGTCATTGTGTCGATTCACACGACAGACTTTCGCGAAAATTGCGCCAATTAACGCGGAATTTCGTTGATACCGGCTGCGTCCAAGATTTTTGTGTCGGTTTCACTCCATAGTCTTTCAGCGACTATAGAGAGGGTTTAGCGGAAAAGAAAAAACGGGGGTTTCCGTCTAGACCGGGGTTGTATTGACCAAATCCTTATACTCCACCAACTTCTTGGACATACGAGCGACATTTGACCTCCTAGATAGACGTACTTTGCCGAACTGTCTTAACAATAATAATAATAATAATACTCATACGTATATTTCTCCTGAGGCGAGAAACTATCTGTATCGGCACAGTTCAATCCGCACGAAAGTATCCATGCTATTGCATGGGTGGAACAATGGGGTATGTGTTTTATGTAGTTACGTTTTGGTGGATGGTTGGGGCAGAAGTTTAGTTTTGAAAACGTTGGTGTTTTGATGTTTTTGAGCCCCTCTTAGACCAGCTCATCGCGAGATTTTCTCATGCAGTTATCGTACTTGGACCAAGGTAATTAAGGAGTCTGCTTCTAAATGTTGTCACATTGTCACCTGAGTGTGGTTAGTAGTTTATTCCACAGATAGCTATATCTGACCAGGAAGAAATTAGAGCGGACGTTCGTTATAGCCTCGGTATGTGTATTGTAATCTTTATTACGAAGCTCACATGTTGAGCTATCATGTAGTTCTAGTGTAGGTAAATCAGAATAGGTCTTTTTGTAAAGCAGGGACTTTATAGTCACAGGTCAAAGGACTTACGGCAGGATTTTTTCTTCGTTTGCTGTCACCAGCGGCGTTCGCCATGTTTGACCTACTTCACCTTTCCTCTTCAATTTTGCAATCAAACATGCCGTCCAACGCGCATTGAAAGATGCCCAGAACTGAAGTGTTGAGCTCTACTTTGGATACGGATTCGCGGATTGAGATTACGCCGCTTATCTCGTATTGGTTGGGGTCATTCACAAGTCGCTCAAAGCACTAAACCGCTTAGAACTGCAGGCCTCTAGGTACTGCTTGTATTTCACCTCAGGGAAATCTAAGATACCACTCCAGGATTAGCAGGGGCCTGTGCCTGCCTTCACTATTGCTGTTGATATTTTGGAACATGTCGCTTGCTCCACTTATCTAGGGAGTTTTATCAGAGCTGGGGACAGCGTTGGAGTGGTCTGAAAACTTATCGCGAAGATACTCCTTGCGTACCTCAAACCTAGACATCGATGGCATCGTCACAGTGTCAGTCAACCTCATGCATGGGATGCACAATGCTTCTGTGATAATAGTTACAACAAAAACTATGCCTTTGGAGCACATGAACACGTTATACGAAGTAAGACGTGAGTTGCATGTTTCTTTCAAGTCCCATGTGTGCAACACATTACCAGTGGCTACCGATTGCAGTGCGGTGAATCTGTTTCCACTGTGGATATCCGATTGAGCTAGCCGGGTAGCACCAAAAGGTGTTTCCCTCTTGTGACCCGATTTTCAATGATCTCCAGCCACAATGGGATGCCAGTCCATCAGTCAACATTAGTGCATCAATACTGCGACACTGTCGGTCTCACCGTGACACCCAGAAATATTGTCACTGTGCATTTCCGACTCCGAACCGTTATTCCTTTGCGAGCGCCGGTACACGCATAATGCCGTCCAATCCAGCCGGGATTAACAAATGACCAGTATCTGAGTACCAGCGTTCGGCAACAAACTCTGTTGTCCCACTAGTCTATCTGTTGAACTTACACTATCTTGCGCTCCATCACGTTATCCGTATGCTTGCTAACAGGTTGGTTTGTCGTACATTGCTTACCCGTACTGAACCTGGCCCGATTAAGCCACTGGTAGAAAACAACAGCAGAGGGGTAGTAGTGGATAGATGCGGCTACCTGACCAATCTGCTTCGTCCTTTCTCAATGATTGGGCCTCTTAGGATCGTCCTCATTACTGATCAAAAACCCTATTGGGCATGACACAGTCGCGAAGTCAGTGGAACTCTTGCAAGTAATCCCACACTTGTTCGCTGTCAACACTGTGCTCAAGGATCGGCGTCGTCCTTGTTTAGACCCATCAGGTAAGGATATACGCGCGTAAACGGGTTCTGATGAGCACTGAATAGCAGCGTATCCGTACCACCCTGAAATAACGTCTGACAAGGAGTCTTCGAGTTGACCGGGAATGTTGTTAGGTGGCAAGGACCCGGGAGATGGAGAAAGCCAGCGCTATTGAAAACAGCCGAGTGCTATTCCAGCTCACCCGGAACACTGGTCCGAGGAAGTCATCAGTTAGCGAGACAATATCTGAGAAAGATGGACGGCCTCGTCGACTAGCCCGTTAGGCGGCACATTTTGAAGAGCGGTTCAGCAGCCCCGCTGCGACACTGCCGCTTGCCGAATCGTCTGAGCCTACGGATGAATCGGATATCACACCTCCCACTTCGGAAGAGATTCAACATGAGCTTTCCGCTTTGAAACGAAACAAAACTCCAGGACCCTACGTCCTTCCTCCAACTTCGCTGAGATGTAGTGGTGGCTCTGTTGAGTGGACTCGCTTCTCTGTCTAACACGATCTGAAACATTGGAGGGGTGCCTTCAGACTGGTTACTATCAACTGTTATACCCAACTTCAATTAGGGTCAGCGTACTTTGTGCAACAATCATCGACCATTAGTTTTATTTCCGTTACCAAACTTCTCACGGGTATAATTCTCCAACAATTTACTAGTCCCTGTGAGAACCGAATCACTAAAAGCCGGTGCAGCTTCCGCAATGGTAGTGGTTGTATCGACCACATATTTATTCTTCGTCAAGTTTTAGAGCAGAGGTACACATACAGATGACCGAGTATGGGGTTTTCCTTCACTTAAAAGCCGCCTTCGACTTCTTTGACCACACCAGCTTATGACACTGCCTATCCATGAAGGGCGTGCCAGCTAAACACCTTTCCATTCGGAAGTCCCTCTACCGTAATTCCTAA